GTCAGGCTTTTCTTCTGTATCCTGAAGTCCGAGGTTTGACTAGGGACAACCTGATATAGCCCAGCCCATCTTTCCACAAAGTGGCCCACAAGCCTGGAGTGGCTGGCCTATTTGGGGTATAAGTTACATGTTTTAAATTGGGCAAGCAATTTAAGGGTTTGGTTGCTGCAGAAGCAAAGATGAGTATATTGAAGAACTGTTCTCTAGACAGTCCAAGCACTTTTCCTAACAGTTCCTCTTCTTTGTTGTTGGGATTCAGGGCCAGAGACTGGTGTTTTGCCTTCTTGAGCTACTGTCCAGACATCTGGAGGAAAAGCAGCTTTCAGAGGGCAAAAGCTCCTCCTCTTCTTATCACTCTTGGACTGCAGGCACTGAAGGGCCCTTCGTGGAGAGGGTGACCACAGTGTGGAAGAGTGTTTTCAGCCTTGACGCTCCAGAGCAGTATCAGGCAGCCTTCCAGAAACTGCAGCATATCAAGTATCCGTCTGCTACCAGTAACACACCGTCCAAACAGGTACCCATCAGAAAATAAGTACTCCTCAGGCGCATCTTCACATTTTCTTATTTTTGCTTTGTAACATGTTCTGGTTTTATATATTCGTTGGAGGTTTGTTTCGAGTTTTGTTTATTTTGGAGTTTTTTTATTTAGGTTTTTTTTTTTTAATATAAAAACTATACAGTAAGTTTCTCTTGTTCTCTTTCCCTAGCTCACCAAAAACAACTCCTGGGTCATATTATTTTTCAGCTTGCTTATTTTAGCGGCTGCTGTTTGTAAAACTTATGCCTGGTGAGACAGAGATTAAGTGGATCTATTTTAACTGCCCTTTTCACTTTATGATTACATCTCAGTTTATCTGCGTCTTGTTTTTAAAGTGAGGGGACATTGTTATATTTCTGAGAATGAGACTTGTCTTATTCTGCAGAATGAGACTTTGGAAAATAGTCTTGCAGTTTCTTATAAAGTTAAACATACACATGACCCAGCAATCCCACTACCTGATATTTCACTCAAAGAAATGAAACCAGGTACCCAACAAGGACTTGCACACAAATATTTATAGCATCTTAGTCCACAATAGCAAAAAACTAGAAACAACCCAAATGTCCATCAACTGGTGAATGACTATGCAAATTGTGGGGTATCCATTCATTGTGTCCATATGATGAAATACTGTACTGTGATAATCCAAGAAACAAATTACTGGTACACAGTGATATCAATGAATCTCAGAAACATTATGCCCAGTGAAGGAACCAAGATACATGAAGGCTACGATAACCAGTTTGATGAAAATATTTCAAATTGTATATAAAAACAGCACACTGTACTCCATGACTATATTAATATACACAGCTATGATTTAATTAAAAAAAAAAAGCGAGAAAAAAAAAAAAGAACCAAGATAACAAAAGATGACATAATACTGTATGGTTCCATTTATATGAACTCTGGAAAAGACAAAATTAAAGAGAAAAAAACCAGGCAGCGCTGTGGCTCAAAGGAGTAGAGCACTGGCCCCATATACCGGAGGTGGCAAGTTGAAAGCTGGCCCCAGTCAAAAACTGCAAAGAAAAAAAGAGAGAGAGAGAGAAATGATCAGAGTGAGATGAAAGGATTGCCCACAAAGGAACATGTGGAAATATTTTCAGTTGATGAAAATGTTTTATGTGTGTGTGTATATATATATATATTTTTTTTTTTTTTTTTTTGAGATAGTCTCACTCTATCACCCGGGGTAGAGTGCCATGGCATCATAGCTCACAGCAACCTTAAACTCTTGGGCTTGAGCAGTTTTCTTGCCTCAGCCTCCCAAATAGCTGGAACTACAGGCACCCACCACAATGGCTAGTTTTGTTTTTTTTTTCTTTTTCTATTATTGCTCATGCTGGTCTCGAAATTCTGAGCTCAAGTGATCTACCCACCTTGGCCTCCCAGAGTACTAAGATTAGGATTACAGGTATGAGCCATAAAATGTTCTGTACCTTGGCTCAGCACCTGTAGCTCAGCAGCTAGGGCACCAGTCACATACACCAGAACTTGCAGGTTTGAACCCAGCCCAGGCCTGCCAAACAACAATGATAACCATAACCAAAAAATAGCTGGACGTTGTGTTGAGCGTCTGTAGTCTAAGCTACTTGGGAGGCTGAGGCAAGAGAATCACTTAAGCCCAAGAGTTTGAGGTTGCCGTGAGCTGTGACGCCATGGTACTCTACCAAGGGTGACATAGTGGAACTCTGTCTCAAGAAAAAAAAGTTCTATGTCTTGATTTTGGTGATAGTTTAGAACTATATGTGCTTGTCAAAACTTATCAAACTATAGACTTAAAATTATTAATTTTATCTTAATTATACTTCACGTTTTATTTTTTAAATCATACCTTTTAGTTGCAGAAACTCACTTTTTGTTTTATCAAATGCAAATGTCAAGGCATTTTCTCAGAGTGAATAGACCAGTTTGTTGCTGTGCAGCTAGATATAAGTTCCTAATGAGGAAGCAAAACTGGCTGGAGGACGTAGGATGACACTTCATGGTGTGAATTTTGTGTACTTGTGTACTCGTTTCCAAGTGCTATTAATGGGATCAGTTGTAGCATCATCCTCGGTGCCTGCCATGGGCGGGTGTTTAACTGAGGTTCGCTCCTTTTTCCAGCTCCTGCTTCACATTTGCCATGACTTGACCTTGGCATTGCTGAGCCAACAGGTAGCCTCCTGGGACGAGGCTGTGCAAGCGCTGCTTCGGGCTGTGGTCCGGAGCTATGACTCGGGGAACTTCACCATCATGCAGGAAGTGCACTCAGCCTTTCTCCCTAAAGGTAAGAGACCCATGCCTCCACCTGGGGCACACTCACTAGTGGACAGTGGAACCATGAATGGTGTGGCGCAGGGGGTGCCTAGTTTATTAAAAGGTGGAGATTGGGGCAGTGCCTGTGGCTCAAAAGGATAGGGCACTGGCCCTATATGCCGGAGGTGGCAGGGTCAAACACAGCCCTGGCCAAAAACTGCAAAAAAAAAAAAAGGTAGACAGTCCTTAAGCTACATGACTAAACTGAACTAAGTAATTTTGATTTTTCAGAAACAGTGTAATCTTACTTCAGTGTGGCTCCAGAGTATTCAGTAGGATGGATAGAATACTTTTACTATCATTCTTTGAATAGCTTCTGGCCCATAGCAGAATGTTGTCCCAAGCCAGGAAATGTTTTAGCTACAAATGGCTTTTGGCAAAAAAGCATGTGATCCCATGGATCACATTGCTGTTGTTTTTCTTGGGGTCTGCCTCTTGAGTGATAGCAAACAGAACATGAGGGCAAGAATCCAGATTTCTGACATGTAAAGAAATGTACAATTTCATATCCTTTTCTTCTACTTCTAGGGTGCGACCACCTAAGAGAGAAGTTGGGTGACCATCAGTCCCCTGCCACACCGGCTTTCAAAAGTCTGGAGGCCTTTTTTATTTATGGGCATCTATATGAGTTCTGGTGGTCTCTGTCTGGGCCTTTCCCCAAATCCTGTGTCTGGGTAAGAGCTACTCACAGAAGAACACCTTCTGTGGAGCAGAGCCAGCAGTTGGACAGTGCCAGCACTGAAGAAAATGACCCTGAAGCTGCTTCTTGGCCAGAGCCAAACAGGCCTCCAGAACTAAACTTGAGACTCACAGAAGAAGGTCAGCGAATGCTGAGTGCTTGTAAGGAACTCTTTTCTGAAAAGCATGCCAGTCTCCAAAGCTCACAGAGAACTATTGCTGAAGTCCAAGAGACCTTGGCAGAAATGATCCGCCAACACCAGAAGAGTCAACTCTGTAAGCCCACAGTGAATGGTCTTGATAAGAACGAACCTGAACTGGAAGCAGATCAGTCCCTCTCTGGTCAGAGCCAGTGGTGAGTGCTGCGGCAAGTAGAGGCTGGAATGAAAAATGTCCTGCTGGACTCTTACAGAATTAGGTTAAAATAAGTACATGAAGCTGTTGATCAGTTGTCACTTGGAAGCAGCATAATACAGTGATTAGGACACAGGCTTTGGGGTTAGATGTGGGTTCTATTCCTGGCTTTGCTGAGTGACCTTAGGCAAGTTTCTTCATGTCTCTGGGCTTTAGTTTCCTCATAGTGGTTTTAGAAAGTAAACAAAATCACATATGTTGTTAGTAACAATTATACTGTAAACTCCTATCATTGTGCCACCCTAGGTAGCTTCTCCAAAAAATCAGTCATGTAAAATGTGGAGCTGCTTTGTTGTATCATTAATGAAGACATTATTTTTCAATTATTCTTTACTATTATAAAAAAAAAACACACACACAAAAAAAAGGGGTAGTGGACAAAACTGCACACTGAACTGAGAAAATCCCAAATGATCAGAATGGTATCACTTCCATTGAAAACAGGCCAGGTAGAGAAAAGGAGCCACTGGCCAATCACTAACAGCTAGACTTGCATTATTACAGGGCACTGTGCTGGGAGATTGGCTGTGATTAACAGTTACTGCTTGTTTGTTGTTTTGGTGGTAGCGGTAGTATTTTTTGAGACAGAGGCTCACTTTGTCACCCTCCATAAAGTGCTGTAGCATCACAGCTCACAGCAACCTCAGACTCTTGGGCTTCAGCAATTCTCTTGCCTCAGCCTCCTAAGTAGCTGGGACTACAGGTGCCTGCCACAACGCCTGGCTATTTTTTAGAGACGGGGTCTCACTCTTGCTCAGGCTGCTCTCAAACTCCTGAGCTCAAGGGATCCGTCTGCCTTGGCCTCCCAGAGTGCTAGCATTACAGGTGTAAGCCACCATTCCTGGCCTATGTGGTTTTTTTGATGATTTTCTTTTACCTTGAGTATGTCCCCTTGCACAAGGCCTAGAACACAGTAACTAGTATAATCAGTAAATGTAAAGTTATTTTTACTCATTTAAAAAATTAGAACTAAGAAGCTGTAAAGCCCTCATTTTTAGTCCTCTAAAAATATTCCCATTGAAATTATGAGTCACACTCTAAGCAGCTTTTAGTTTGCTTTCTATACCAAGTAAAATGCTCCTAACCTTTGGATCATAGGACCTTTGGAGAAGCTTAAGACATTGTGCCCCCAAAAGTTTGTATCCACAGATCCCCATGGTTAGGAGCCCTGGCTCTATTTGACTATTCCCCAGAGAGTCTCACACCGTCTGCACTGTCTGAAGTCAAATCCCCTAAATTTTCACTGGGATTATGTGTCTAAGGAGTTTGGGAAATAGTGAGGAATAATACTGTATCCTGAAAACTTTGTATTACATTACATTAAATTGCCTTCTCTTGATCTCTGTATTTAAAGACAAGAGGTGACAAAGGAATTTTATTTATAAAATGAGATATTAAGTTATCTAGAAATAATAACAAACAGCCTGATTCAAAAATGGGCAAAGATAGCCCAGCGTTGTGGCAGGCGCCTGAGCCCCAGCTACTTGGGAGGCTTGAGGCAAGAGAATCACTTAAGCCCAAGAGTTTGAGGTTGCTGTGAGCT